CTGTGATCAAAGCTAAATTTTCAGCATCATTACTCCTCCTCTTATCTTCAATGTCACATGATCCTTCAGAAATCATTCAAATATGCTGATTTGCTGTTCAAGAAACATTTATTATTTTTAAATTTAAAACAGTTGAGTACATTTTTTCGAGATTCTTTGATGAATAGAAATATCCAAAGATCAGCGTCTATCTGAAATAAAAAGCTTTTGTAACATTATACATGCACTATACCAAAAGCTTCAAGCCAGTATAATTTTTTTTTGTTTGGGGGTGGGGCATTTCTCCTAAATATTACTTTTATTTAACAAGGATGCTTTAAATTGATCAAAAGTGATGATAAAGACATTCATAATGTTACAAAAGATTTCCATTTCAGATAAATGCTGTTCTATTCATCATCTGAAAAAGTATACTCCGCTGTTTTCAACATAATAAAAATAATAAATGTTTTTTTTTGTAGCAAATCAGAATATTTGAATGATTTCTGAAGGATCATGTGACTTGAGTAATGATGCTAAAAATTCAGCTTTGAAATCACAGAAATAAATTCAATTTTAAAACATATTCAAATAGAAAACAGTTATTTTAAATATTAAAAATATTTCACAATATATATATATATATAAATGGTGGTGGGCCGCCTGGACCAAAAAATGCCTGTGCTGATTTTTTATCCCAGTCCAGCCCTGCTGCTGGGTAATCCAGTACAAGAGATGCTGATATAATCACCTCTGCAAATGGGCGGCTGTGCTGCTCAGCTCTACACCTGAACTTCCCCATTCCAATTTAGCCAACTAAACTCTATGCTGATGTATGCAGTCATTTATATTTCCTCACACTTTATGGACGTAATCTTTCATATGCCATTTTTTTTCACGTTTGTACAAATGTTTCTTGGTTGTGGATGATATTTCATATTTGTTTGTAGGATACTTTTCTCTCCTTTTAGAAATCAGAATGAAATGGTTTGGCCTGTTTCACACCATGAGCTTATTATATTACTGAGCCAATTTTTGCTATGCAAAGCAAATTGAACTCGGGTTGAAAATTTAAATTTAAATTCATGACATTCTGTTGTAATTCTGTGTGCAGTGTGATAAGGGCTTTGTCAAAATAAATGTGTAAATGGTTAAAATGGATAAAAAAGAACTTTGCTAATTATTTGCATGCATTTATTAAAGACTTTTTTGGTATATTTGTAGTTTCATTGGTTGCATTTCAGTTTAGAGTAAAATAGATTAAAGAAATAACCTTGACAGTGCTTCTGCCTCTGATGTAACGTTCAGAAAAAAATCTTTAAAAAGAGATTAAAAGGAAGCGTTCATTGTGGATTGAACTGCGTGATCTCTCTTTTTTCAGTGTGGTGTTGTTACTCAGTCAGAAGCAGTCGCTGGAGGAGTTGAGACAGACGGTCCAGCTGCTGCGCTGTTCGGAGGCCAAACTAATGGCACAGAGAGAACTACTAGAACAGAAGATGCAAGAGAACGAGGGCAACGAACCACCGCCTGTCGTCAATTATGAAGAGGATGCCCGCTCAGTCAACTCAATGGTAAGGCACTTCTTGGAGCTGCATCCCAAATCGCACGCTATCATTTTTTTAAATAGTACGGAGGATTAGAATTTGTGTGTCCCAAATCATAGAATGTTGAAAATAGTATGCCAAAGGTGACCAGATGGTGTACTATTTCCAACGGGTTTTTGACTTGTCCCTGTGCTTGCTCATTTGAGCTTATATTAATCATATCCCAGAAGAGGAGTTTGTGACGATTCTCTATTGACTTTCACTTGGTGCAAAATCCAAGGTCAAAACTGCCACACCGGTCTTTAAATGTATAAACCTATAATTTAAAGGGGTCATATCATTAGTTGCATTAGTTGCAATATAATGACTGGTAATCTTTTTGCTTCTGGCTTTCATAAAGTGCTGAGGACAAAAGTGGGCATTGCAAAAATGAGAAATATCAGTTATCAGGCCAGATCCTGTTCTTGTGTCTTTGTAGTCATTAAAATGCCCTGGTACTGAAAACTGGTACCACACAGCATGTGTACAGTGTTTATGTCCAGACAAAGAAACACTGACAACAGAACAAGCAGAGAACAGAATGGAGATATCATAGATAAGTATGTATATGGAGTACATGTACATAATTAAAAGAATATTAAACCTAAATTCAGTATTCTGTTGCATGGTTGCTAATCGCTCACTCGGCACCAGTGTTGGGCAAGTTACTCTGAAAATGTAATCAAATTACTGATTACTGAATACTCCTTTTAAAAGTAATCACGTTACTGTTCTGATTACTTTATTTCAAAAGTAATTAGTAATTAGTTACATTACGTTACTTTTTTCTCCAAGAAATTTATGAAATCCCAGCATACACGCTCCCGATAAATATTTGTTATTAAAGATCAACATCAACATTCACAGAACACTGTTATTTTTAACTAAAGCAAACGGCTGCTGCATGCATGGTTTGGCATGGCAGAATGCCAGCAAAGAGCGCTGCATTTATAATCTCTAAAAGACATCTCAGTTCATCGCAATCTCACAAATCTCTGTTATAACACAATAAATATATGCATAATGAATCGTTCATAATGTCTACAATTCGTGTGTTATAATGAGAGGATTCGTGAACACGCAAATTTCAGCACTGCATTGCTCAACACTGCAAACACGTGTTATAGCCTAAATAGAAACTCTGCATACGCTTGCACCTGTTAATCGTTTATATTTTATAATTGTTCATGTTGCTTTTGTGCAATAGATGAATAACAATTTATTTGTTTTAGATATTTTATGTTTAGATATTTCTATTTCGCGGGAGTCCCGTGAATAATTTTATTCTCCCGCATCCCGCACACACACAAGTCTCTGCACTCGCCTATCAAGTCTTGTCCCGCGCCACGCTCTGTTTCGTCGGGTCTCGCGGGAGAGCAGGTCTCTAATCCACTAGCACTTGACTCGACAGTGCGTGTGCTACATCCTTTTTACAATCTCTAGATTAGAAATCACTGCATTCTGCCAGCAATGTAACGCGGCAGTAACGTATAGAGACCTCGGCTTGTAACTATACTCTAATTACTATTTTGAAAATTATAACGCTTTAAATTACTCCGTTACTAAAAAAAGTAATCCAATTACAGTAATGCGTTACTAAGTAATGCGTTACTGCCCAACACTGCTCAGCACACGTGTCATTTGGATTAAAACTAAATTATATAAAAAAATATTAACTGTTATATGATTATGTTTATGGTTATTTATAATGAGTGGTTGCCTACATTATTACAGCAAAACGTCACTTGATTATTGTGCCGCTGCACTAGAGCAGCTCTAAATTTGCGCTGTGCCATTAAATAAAAAATAAAATATGACAGAGCAATAGATGAACAGTGAATGTAACAGAAGCTAGTACAAGGCATAATTACGTGTAAAAATAACTGAAGAAAACATCTATTTGCTAAACGAATGATGCCAATATGATTCTTTTTCTAATATTCTAATATTTTTCATATTCTACACTGTAGCTAATTTGCTCAGAAAGAAAATGTATATAAGTAATTACAATTATTTATATCAACTGTCAGTAGTAACCGTAGCAGAATTAATATTACAATCAACTAATCTGTTTGTCCAGCAAACATTCAGTGTAATTTCATATCAACTCTAAGAAAGATTATTGTCATGGCCATAGAAAATAACTTTCTTACAGTACTCATGCATTAGAGCTTGTAGCAAGATCGGCTCGTTAAAATGACTTTACAAGCAGTAACCACAGAAAACAAACTCATGAAGTTTTATTAACTAAGACACTAACACATAACTAGTCTACACAAGCATACACACATTAATATATCATAAATTGCTCATGCAAAAAGGAATCCATGCATATGTGGATCAGGTGACACGCGTGCATTAATTGACGTCTAGTTCGAGTCGATCTTGTTCGGTTCATGCCATCTAGTGGTCGCTGATTTTCTTTGGCTCAGTTGCGTGTGGATCGCGAGCTGTGTGTGTGTGGATTGCGCAAGGCTAAAAGGGCGGAACGAAAGTCTCAAAATTCAAATGAATCAAATAGAATCGACTCAGAAAAGACGTGAGTGAATGCACGCACGTCGCCTGATCCACAAATGCACATTTTAATCACTACATGCACAAATTATGATACTTTAATACAAACTATAACATTTGTATTCACAAATATGTCTCTATTCGAACAAAATGCTGCACATTAATGTAATTCCTAACTCTCCGGTTGAAAAGCATTTGTTTCAGTGTAGTGACGCACATCTGCAAATTTTTCAATTCGTGTACACGTTAATGAATTGCACTGGGCCTTGTTCGTTGGTAGTTGTGTGTGTGAGGGACGTGAAATACTGTAAACTGCTAAAATTAAGTCTCAAAATCCAAATGAACCGAACAAGATCGACTCGAACTACACGTCAATTAACGCACGTGTGTCACCTGATCCACATATGCATGGATTCCTTTTTGCATGAGCAATTTATGATATATTAATGCAGAACAGAACATTTTTATTCACAAACATGTCTGCTGTATTTGTAAAAATCGCTGCACAATCATTTAATCCCGAATTCCACAGACTCAAATTGAAAGGTATTTGTTTGTGGTTAGTAAGATACATGTATAAAATGTATGCAGTACATGGATAATTGTGCGTGCATCTATTAATTATTTTGAGCCTAATATCATCCCATAGGTATGGGGTCTGTTGGATTATTTGTTAACAATCCAAATTGAACTGCCATTAAATGTATAAATGTAGATTTGTATAACAAAACATGGTCATATGAACAAAAACAGAGCAAATAAAAATCATGCACACAAAGAAAGAAAAAGTAGCATATTGAAGGTATATAGTGGTAATAAACTTTTTTAATAATCTAGTTTTTGTAATGTGTATTCTTTTGCTCTAGTTATTATATACAAAAACTATAAAATATACTAGATCTCCTTTTGTAATTGGAATGTATGTGGTTAGTAGTCTGTAAAAAACATAATACTTAAAACTGTTAATAATTGCCACACATACAAGTGAATAATATGCTCTTAAATTTGTTAAATCAGTGCAGTGAAAATAATTTAGATACAACAATTTGTTTTTACTAACAGTAATTTTGACTTATTAAACTGCTTCCCAGCACAATATTAATATTTGTTGTGTAATATGAAGGTATCGTTTTATTTGACATGCTGCTGGTGTTGAAGTTTGCTGAAGAGGGCAGTGTGTTCCCAGTTTTTTTATTGCCTTTTTTTAGTAGTGCATTGATGCACAGAATGATTTATTATGACTGTTTTAAAGGAATACTTTTACTGCAGGGATTTGTAAATGAAATGTATTCAAAAAAGTGTCTGCTAAATTCTATTCAAATGTATGCATCCAAATATACTTCAACACTAAGTGTATGATTTTTCTCTTACAAAACAGTCCTTTGGCACTACCATATTGCAGTGATAGAAAATCTGTCGTATTACAGTGTCCAAAAACGTTGTATCACTGTGATGTATGCCTAAAAGATAGGGTATTATCATTGTACCATGTCCAAAAAACATTTTTGGATATTTACATTTACCTATTTTATTTACTGTTTATCTATCTATTTTTTATACTCTTTATGCTTAATGAATGTGCTGCACAACTTAGTCATTGAAAAATACATTATATTTCAGGATAAAAGCAAAGACAAGGTATCGAAGTTTGACACCCTCAGACACTCCATCGCTGGAATCATCCGCTCGCCCAAGTCTGTACTGGGCTCTTCATCAGTACGTTTCATAACCGAGTCTCCTGCTTTTTCCATAATCACCTCCTCATTTCTATCTGTCCTGTCATGTTCTCTGCCTTGACCTCCTTGTGTTTGTTCCTCTTCAGTTTTTTGATGTGATACCCACTAGTGAGAAACCGCTGGGCGAGCAAGAGTGGTATCACGGTGCCATTCCCAGGACAGAGGCCCAGGAGCTGCTGAAGCAGCAGGGAGACTTCCTGGTGCGCGAGAGCCACGGCAAACCTGGAGAATATGTGCTGTCTGTGTTCTCAGATGGACAGCGCAGACATTTCATCATTCAGTTCGCTGAAGTGAGTACATGATGACTCAAAACAATGTCATTATTCATCCAAATAATTTTTTAGTCAGAATATTTGTAGATTCAACAATGAGTGAAGAAGGAATCATTAAAAATGATGGCTTATATATATTTATGTAACACATTTATAATACTAGATTCTGATTGGCTGGTATGCATTAAAACCGTTTAATGCACAGGTAGTTCCAAGTCAGTTTAATCACTGTTCTATATAAATGTGTTGCTTTAATTGATGCACACACACACACACATCACTCGCACACAGAAACATTCGGGAGCACAGAAACTTCTTGTCAGCGCTGCCCCGTGACTTTTGTTAATAAAATAGATTTGATGCTGAATCGCTACACTGTATTTCTCAGCAAGGAGGGGGAAGTAACTAAACTCACAGCTTCATTGTTTGTAGAGAGAGACATGCAGACACAGAAAATTCACACACACTAGGGCTGCGCAATTAATTTAATTTCTAATCGCGATTACAATTATGGATGCCACAATTACGTAATCGTTCAAAGCGGCAATTAATCGTTCAAAGTCCACTTATGTTATTCTTCACGCTTAAAGCCTTGTACACACCGGGACGATTATCGTGCGCGCTTATCACAGACGTTTTTTGACGTGTCTTTTGTGTTCATACCCAAGCGATTTTCACTGGCGATTAGCCGAGTGAACGTGCAAATTCACTCCCTGACATTAGATGGCGCTTAATGAAAAACAGAAATACCCTGGTACACATCGAATCCTATTTGATCTGCAATTTCTCTCCATAACAACTCCCTCTTATCGAGATTTTTGTAGTCGCTGTCGCGTTTGTCATAAAGCTCTTTGTGTTCAGACACCAATGAGACCAGCAGCTCTACATTCATCTTGCCTCGATGCATCTTCTTCGTCTACTTACTTGCTCTTCGTCGTTAGGTATCAATGTGTGTTTGGCAAGACCGTTTTGTGCTTGAGCGCCACCAAGTCGTGTTTTACTGTAACTTCAGCAGCTCCAGGCACGTGAACAAAAGCGCCAATCTCATTGGTCGGCCAGTTTTTAATGCGGCACGTCAAACCAAAAAAACGAGCCCGAGGCGTTTTTGAAAAAATGATGCTCTTACGCCTCGCGTTTTGCGCGTCGGTGTGCACACTCACATTGGTGCCCTTTGTTACGAGGCGTTACACGTCGGCGATATTCGTCCCGTTGTGAACAAGCCTTAAGATATGTTTTTTTCTTTCTACATGTTATCTTAAGGGTTTTTCCATTGCTTTAGTTTTAGTATAACACTATAATACCATTCATATTTTTACTTTTTTTATCATTTAAAGAAGAAACCAATCCGATGTATATTTGACATTTGAGGCTTAATACTAAAGAAAAGCACTAAAGATTTTTTAGTTAGTGTTTTCAGCTTGGTTATTTTCATATAAAAATACGGCATGCAGTTGCATCAAACAATGGTATAAACATCATTCAATGTAAATTGTGATAATCGTAATTAATAATCGCAATTACAATTTCAAGGGAATAATCGACAATTATGATTTTTGTCATAATCGTGCAGCCCTAACACACACAACTTTAATCTCTCTTACTCTCGATAATTAATTCAAATAAATGCTATAATTTATTCAATTAAATGTGATCTTACTGCACTACCTTATCTCTGTGTCTGATTTGAAGCTGGCAGAATGCTAGAGTTAACGTGCTGTAACTGATGACATCTACCCGTGCATTATCGCTTACACACACACACACACACACACACACGTATATATTTTTTTTTGCTAAACATTTTTATTGCCAAAAAACAATAGCAAAGTATAAATAAAAATATATACAACAATGCCCAAAATACTCCAAAATTTCTATTTTGTATTTTATTTTATTTCATGAGCTCACTACTAAGTGTATTTATTTTATTTTATAAGCTCACTATACTGTCTGATTTAATTTGCCTCTTTTTGTTTGCAGAATCAGTACAGATTTGAAGGCACTGGCTTCCCCACCATCCCACAGCTCATAGAGCATCATTACACAACTAAGCAAGTCATCACCAAGAAATCTGGGGTCGTGCTCCTGAACCCTGTCATAAAGGTGAAACATTGTCTCTCTTTTCATTTTAACAAGCTGTTCTGCTCTCAGTACAGTCATTTAATATGTCTTCACTTCTAAAGCTATAACTGTATTTCCAGTATGCAGCCATAAAATTCCTTATTACAGAAATTCGGACAGCACATTGCTCATTTTCCCTAACGTGAGCAGCTACATTGAACATTAGATTGATGTTGTGCAGTGCAGTTCTCAAATCAACCTGTCTTGCTGATGTAAAGTCCTGTGATTTGATGTGTGTGTGTGTGTGTGTTGATTTCTGCTTGGCTACAGAAAAAGATTGTAATGGTTTAGAAAATATCAGTTTGAACTCCTTTCTTGATGGTGGTCTACACTGGCTGGATTCCCCCAGGAAGTGTGTGTCTATGTGTGCATCCATCAGGTCGGATGATTACCTGCCATGCTGTTCCTCTGATGGGTTTTTGATGACGGGGGTAAAGCACCTCATCCGAGCATGTTGACTGAAATCATAATAGTGGTGATGTTTCTGCTGCAGCATGCAAAAAACACTATCAGACCCCTGTGAATGCTGGGATACATTCGGACTGTGTAAAACTGCACATTTAATTGACATAAAATCCCAAAATGTTTTGGGTTAGTAAGATTTTATTGGTTAACACGTTACTTAAAGCCTTTATGTAATGCATTATAAAGGGATATTAGAGCCCTAATATCCCTTTATAATGCATTACATAAAGGCTAATTAATCTAATTTAGAGAGTATAATGCATTATAATTATTCATAATTTGTAATTCATTATATCTTGTCATAAATAATTATAACCGAATTTAAAATGCATAGTGTAACAATGAATTGGCAAGTTTTATAATGTGTTAACTGTGATTATAATTATTCATGAGATTGTACGATGCATTATAAGGTGCTATATAATTATAGGTTATTATACATATATTATACATATACATGTGCCTGGCACACGATCATTTTAGCAGATTTGGAGTGTGGAACATTATGAAAACTAAGAAAAACAATATATAACAGCATAATAATAATTATCATAATGTTGTTGTTATTCATGTTTGCAATAAGTTTATTGCTAATAATATTTGACTTGACTTTGTTCCAAATAAGTGAAAACTGAACTCTTATTACAATGAGTTTATGTACAACGTGAATCCAAAGAGAAGTGGGTTCATTTTTAAGTCGAGCCGTCAATCTGATTACAAACGGATTATTTGGTTGCATGTAAATGTAGCCACTGAAGAGGTCTGACTTTGATTTTTAAAAAAAAAGAAAACGTGTAAAGACCCTTAAAGAGTAACTGGTAGCAGAGAATAGACCAAATAGGATTTGGTTTGGAGCTATTTGTGTTTTTTCCCCCCCCTTGATATCTTGGCAGCAGCAGCATGATAAATGTTTATTTTATAGCCATTAATAAGTTCGTTTTGGTCAATTTGGGCAGCTTTAGTAGACAAAGTCAGAAATGACAGCATTAGAACTAATGCAAGCTGTCTAAAACTCAGAAAATACAGTTTTGATGCAGATACTGCTGCTTGTTTTGTTGTGTTCGGTTTTGGATTATATTGAGTGAAGTGCATTATTGTCCAGGTTAATGTTGACACAGCAGGTCACTCATCTTCAAGATGTTTAGAATAATGGATCTTTAACTGATGCCATTATCAGTGTTGTAATAAATGTCTATTCTCATTAGTGCTGCTGTAAATGCATTGAGATTTTAGAAAGCGATTTTTTCATCTGTATGTGCGTTTTAATTGTCTGAACCTCTTCGAACCCTCAAACGAAGACTACAGTGCTACATTCGCTATTTGTGCCAGTAAAAGCAGCTAGCGTCAATGTTCAATTAAACACAATGAAAGAAAATCACAGAAAAATGCATGCATTTAAAAGTAAGTGTTTTTATGGGTTTTAAGGAATATTCTGTAAAATCTTCCTGCTGCACCTTTAGAAATGAAATTGTGATGGTATTATTTGCAAAATGGACTTTGTACATATACCTCTTTGTTTATTGCTGTTATCATTATAGTGTACTCAAATACAATTGTGCATAACGTAAATAAAATAAAAGTAGAGTTTTCATACAAAAAAAATGGTTTTAGAGATATTCCAAAGATATCCCAGAATGTCTGTGTCTAAACGAGTGCTTTTGGAGAATGAGGTGATAATTGCATCATTATCATTCATCAGAGCAATAGCACAGTGACTGACCCACAGGACGCTCTGCATCTCTCTTCTGTTTGTCTCTGCACGAGTCATTAGTTCATTAATGAACAAGTGTCAGAAAGATAATTTGCTATTTTTGTTTGTTTGCTCAGGATAAGAAATGGATTCTCAATCATGAGGACGTCATTCTTGGAGAACTCCTTGGGAAAGTAAGTCCATATCCATTGTGCTTGTGTTTAGGAATGTTTAAAATACCCCCTTTTTTTTAATTTGTATAAATTAATACTTTTATTCAGCAAGTTATCGAAAGTGATACTAAAGACATTTAAAATGTTACAAAAGGTTTCTATTTTAAATAAATGTTGTTCTTTTGAACATTATATTCTTCCAAGAATCCTGAAAAAAAATCAAATAAATAAATCACGTTTCAACAAAAATATACAAAAATACAAAACAGTTATCAGCACGGATACTAACTATAAATGTTTCTTCAGCAGCAAATCACAATATTAGAATAAGTTCTGAATTTTAAAATGCGTTTACAATACATTTTAAAATGTATTTAAATAGAATAATTTGCTGCATTTATGTTTTGATAAAATAAATGCAGCCTTGGTGAGTGCAAGAGACTTAATTTAAAAACATAAAAGAAAATCTTACCAACCCCAAACATTTCAACACTAGTGTATACTCTGAATAAATAGCATATTAACCAAGCGGCAACCTCCCCCTCTCTCTCATGAAGCCAACAAGGAAGTGACTTAAACTGTAATTCATCAACTGGCCGCTAGAGGCTGGCTGCAAAAGAGAGTCAATCCCATAGACTCCCCATGTTAAAATGCCCAACTTTGCAGCAGAAAAAAACATGTTTACAGCCTGGTTCATAAAATGATTTTGGTTTATATAGCCAATTTTGCCCTTGATGACAACTGTGAGGGGGGTGAATTTTTTTATAACGCATCCATTTAAATTATATTAAGCCTTAAAGTTCTGCATAATTAAGGGCGTGGCCACTTGAGTGACAGGTGGATTGCCGCTGCTGTCACCACCGTCGAGCTAGGTGGGCGTGGCTTCAGCAACCTGCTCCCGCCTCTTTGCCCATTTTCGATTATCCGGGAGTGACGCTGCCAAGATGACGACGGCCGCCTCCGCCCAATTTTGAGCTTCAAAAACAGCTCTTCGGAAATCTACGGGTGACGTCACGGACACTACGTCCATGTTTTTATACAGTCTATGATATTAACTCATCATGGGTCATAATTTGCATGGTAAATGAAAAAAAAAACCCCACTGTGGTAGGACCACAGTAAAACTACATATTTTCACAAGTGACTAGTTTGTTTAAATATGACAAAAAAAGACACAAAAATTAGTCGACTTTAAGTAGTTTTTTGGACAATTAGCCATCTGTCATGAACCATTTGCTAGTACTACTACTATGATGTATGTCCAGAAAGCCATGTTAAGGTGTTTCTTTTTGGTGTTTTTGTTATTTAAAATAATAACATTAGACACTAAGAAATGCTTTTGGACAAATGTTGTTTTAGGGAAATTTTGGTGAGGTTTTTAGAGGAACGCTGCGAGATAAAACCCTGGTGGCCGTGAAAACTTGTAAGGAAGATCTACCACAAGACCTCAAGATAAAGTTCCTCTCAGAAGCCAGGTGAACCCACATTCACCGTTTTACGCTTTACGTCACACTTGCTCTTTATCTCATTCCTCAAACATCAAGAAATAATGTTCGCCTCGTTCATATTCTCCTAAAAATGAGTGATGAAATAATGTGGTCATTTCCATATTCATTTCTGCTCAACTCCACCTCTAGGATCCTGAAGCAGTATGATCACCCCAACATTGTGAAGTTAATAGGCGTCTGTACCCAACGGCAGCCCATTTACATAGTAATGGAGCTCGTACCAGGTCAGTAAACTGCATCTTTGCTTCAGCCATTAGCTGCTGAAACCCTTCCTCGTTAAAAGTGTCATAAATTTGTTGGGGATGTTGGTGTCTCTTGTAATTTATTGCATATCGGTAGCTCATTTATTTTGCCATTTTTTAATAGGCGGGGACTTTTTATCATTCTTAAGAAAGAAAAAAGAGGACCTCAAGACAAAGCAACTGGTAAAGTTTGCATTAGACGCTGCTGCCGGAATGGCATACCTGGAGCTAAAAAACTGTATACACAGGTGAGAAAAACGGAAATATTTCAGACGTAGAAGTGATACAGCTTATCATAGCAAAAACGTGTCAGATTAAAATCAGAAGAAAAACAAAATAAGTAATATTATATATAAAAAACATCCTGTTATAGGACATTTTTGGGACATTATTTTGTGATATTATTTTTCATGGCCATTAGCCACAATTTCCTCCTGTTTGTCTTTACTGTAATCTTGATGTAGTATTTTACGTTTTCTTGTAGTCTAAATTTCAATAGACTACCCAATATATACTTTATTACAGTGAAAAACTCATTGTTTTATTTATATCAACATAAATTAAATGCTGTACAACAAATGCTACCATAATGTATAAAAAATGTACAATCTAAATTATATATCATTCTTTTTTTGGTCATATTATATTTATCAGAAAGCCCAGAATCTATTACATTAATCTTAAGAAAAGGTGGACGATGTGGAAAAAATGGAGTTATGAAACTTACAAACCATTTATTACTGAAAATTATTGATAAAAAGTTCAAAATAGTGAAATCTAAATTTAAATGGACTATTTTATGCAATATTTGTGAACATTTCACTGCATTACAGTGACAAATTACTATACTACAATTAGGGATGCACCAATGTATACAGATTATTGGCTGATAAAAGCAATTATCTGCACTATTAGCCATCTGATGGCAGCTGATGATCAGGGCTTATTATTTCTTGTCAATCAAAAGGCGGCAGAAAAGCGTGTCAGACAGCAACTTGTGTGAAGAAAATGTTTCTTGTGTTGAATTTAGGGCTGTCCAGTTAAAGCAATAATAATGCGTTATAGCACCGTTAACGCGGGTTCTGTTTGACCCTATGAAACACCCATAGTTCAAGCCAGGGTTGCCAGATACGTGATTTTCCCTTTACAAAACATTATTTGTAAAGCACATCCAATCCAATTATCACAACGTGCTTTGTGCTTTGCTACTTCTGATAAAAAACAAAGTGTCAGCTTTCAAATCCTGTACATTTTATCACAAAATCCAAACAATAAATGCCATTTTGACGCACTTAAATATGGCGTGACAGACTGCTGTAGCGGTACCATTCTGCGGCTCGTGAGGGGTAAGAGGATGAAATCAGATCATAGCGAGAAAGATACAGCTCTGATAAAGCATTTAACATTTCAAACATTTTAAAATAGTGTCTCAAAATATATACAGTGGTGTGAAAAAGTGTTGGCCCCATGTTGTGTTCACTTGTGTTATCTTTTACTAATATTTAAATTTGTTTGATGATCTGAAACATTAAAGTGTGACAAACATGCAAAAAAATAAGAAATCAGGAAGGGGGCCAACTTTTTCACACCACTGTATCTAAATGCAGCACCTAAAAAGCACGCATAATTATGTCTGGAAACACAGTTCTTAATAAGCAGGGATTGCACAACCTTTTTAAATATTTAATTAATGGTATTACATTTCATATTATTTATTCCTTTTCATCCAGTAGCATAATTGTCAACATGTTAGATAAGACAACAAATTAGAAAAAGTAAATAAATCCAAAATATTGGGCTGCGGGAGCTTTTGAGTTAGTTTAAGATTATATGAGATTGTGCTGTCTGTATGATTTAGTTCTTCATAGAAACATTTGACAAAATCTTATCCTAAAAGACAAATTTTTCTTTTAATTTTCAATGAACAGCAACATATTTAATTGTCTGGCAACTTGACAAATATGTTTTTAAAATTAATAGGCTATTTAAAACTTAAATTAATATTTAATGGTATTTAAGAAGTTGTGAAATAATTATATTTCTATAACTGAAACAAGCCTCATTTTTCTTGCTTCTTTCTGGTGGTGATTTTTAAACTGTGAAATAGGCTTTGGCGCATTGTGTTGTTTGAGGCCAGAGCCGGCCGTCTGAATACATCGAGTCTCAGCTCAGAAATAAGCTCTGGGCGCTTACACTGCCACGGCTCTATCAGCACCCCGCTAAAACCCATTTACTATCAGACATGATCATGTTAGGGGGTGGCGGCGGTTTGAGCACCTTTCTGTCAGCTTCTCCGCTCCCCCTACTGTCTTTCCCCATCTTGTGTCAGCAAAGCAATTTTTGGGATGTGACAACCTAATATGGTTGTATGGCTGAGGATGTCTGCTCAGCATAAATGCCAGCGAGAGGCACAGCGGTGGCTGTAGACTAGAATCGTAAATCACTGGTTGGGGATGGAAGAGTTTAGATTATATGAGAGAGACGTTAAGAATATGACGATCGACTTTTGTAGACTTAAAAAAGTAAATAAATAGATAAGGGACTACTCTTTTAAGATTTGAATTCTGAACCTTACGATATGACAATTTTTTTTGGTCTACCCAGTCTGCTGCATTTATTTGATCAAATATATAGAAAAAAATGATATTTTGAAATATTACAATGTAAAATAACTGTACTCCCAGCCAACAGTAACTAGTTACACTACTGGTTTCATTACATTTCCATTACACCCCAAAAACCTGGTAATTGCATAATTTTTGCAGCCTCTGAATCCATGTAGTCCATGTAGAGTACATTTGGCTCAAACTGATGACAAGCCACAATATTTTAAACAACCTGTGTTATTTAATAGAGCAGCAACATAGTAAAATCTGCAACAGGGCTCAAGCAGGTAGAATCATATGATGCCATATGATGTGGCCTTCTCCTTCTTCCGACAAAGCTTGCTTGCTGCATTGGTGATGTCACGTTCATACACGCATGACAGCGATTATGAAATTGATAGAGATGACTGAATTTTTAAATTCAATTCAGTTTGCGATTGTGACAAAAAAAAGTAACTAGAAACTAGCCATTTTTTTGTATGGTAACTAATATTAATACACAAAATAATGTTCTTTTTAGCAGCATCATATGACCCCTTTAAATTTTATTAGTAATTAGTTACACTACTAGTTACCAGGGAAAGTAGTAATATTACTGTAATGTGTTCAGTGGCGTGTCCAACAACCCCACCCCAGTTGCCACCCCAAAGCAGCGTATGGGATCGAAGTGCATTGAGAGCGGAGCAGCGTGATTTTAACTGAAGCGGGGATCTTTTGAAAGTCGGAGAATTCTGGTTTTCGCTCGCTCTCAGAGTGCTCCACTATCGCTCAATCACTAGCACAATTAATGCCATAACTATAGCCGTTCTAAACTAGTTCTGCCTACAAGGATTGTACTGCACGCACACATGTACAGACACATAACGGATCACTCACACACAGAAACAAAAAATATTGTCAACGCTGCCCTGTGATTTGTCAATAAAAATGCTTAGAAACAGAAAAGTTATACCGAAAATTTCTTTGTGTTTTGAAGTAATCAAAATCCACAGCTTCACTATTAGTAGAGAGACGTTGCACAGACAGGCAGGACTAATTTACACGTAATCGCGCTCTCACAAATGCATTCAAATAAATGTAATTTTATTGTGCTTCTATGTATCTGATTTAATAACTGATAAAATAACTGACGAAAATGTAGCCTACTATTATTTCAACCTTCCAAACAAATTTCGCACTTCAAAAAGCTGCAATGACAGATTGAACTTTTAATTCTGATAACCTTAATGCGTGTGAAATGTGTGAAAATAACACATTAATTTTTTCTTTGTTATTATCATCATCATTATTATTATAATTATTAGCCTACTATTCATTCATTCATTCATT